CATTTAAACCGTGTCACGGACACCCTGTTGCTGGATGAAGCATCTTATTTGTTGATGATGAAGAGAAATATACAATTAGTTCCTTGTCATGGATTTGTTTACTTATTCAATGCCATTTATACTTGAACATTTGGATTTGATTACATAGTGTAGTAGTTATTTTAGTAATTTGTTTAAAGTGGATATTTATTTTAAATACATATTTTTTAAGGTTGACTTGTACAGTGCTCAAGTCAAGTGTGGACTGGAGTTTTAGATTTTCATTTTGATAATGAAGAAAACAAGTATATGAGAAAACAAGTGGTGTTTCTTTGATTTGTTTACATATTGTTTATGTTTTGAATGTTTGGATTTGTATAATTTAAACCTGCACTGACTACTGTAACAAGTTCCAGAAAAATAAGCTATTTGTTCCTTTACTTGTGAAAAGTTGCACTTTTGCTAAGGCTTTGTGTTATTTTAGGTTTAATAAACACTGTTAAACCTTTTCAGAACTATTTCAGTTTGTGTAGAACAGGACTATCAATGCTTTCTGAACATATGCAACACCGTTTAAAAAATACCGCGATAATACCGAAAACCGTGATAATTTTGGTCACAATAACCGTGAGGTTAAATTTTCATACCGTGACAACCCTAGATGCGGTACACATGACCCGTGACCCCTTCTGAGTCCAACACAGCTAAGACCTTGAAGGGACCCCTCCAATGGGGAGCCAGTTTCTTCCTATCCTCCCGAGGGTTATGAAGCCACACGAGATCCCCCGTCAAGTATGGCTGATGGCGGGTACTGGTGTCGTGATAAAGTTTTTGTTTCTCATGAGCCACTGCTGCATTCTGCCTCGTGTTGGCAAAGGCCACCTCCAACCGATCCCTCATAGCTGACACAAAGTCCGCATGTGACAGGGGAAGATCAGAGGGCACTGCCTGCTTCGGAACCAGCACATCCACTGGAACACGAGCCTCCCTGCCGTGGATCAGATAGTAAGGAGTGTACCCCGTGCTTGCATGCACGGTCGTGTTGTATGCAAAAGCTACTTGCTTCAAATAATTGTCCCACTCACCCCCACAGGACAACAATGACTTAGCCAGCTGATCAATGAGCGTACGGTTAAACCGCTCTACCATACCATCTGACTTGGGATTGTATGGCGCAGTACGCGTTTTATCAATGTCCAATAATGTACACAGTCGTTGTATATTCTCCGCTTCAAACTGTCGACCCTGGTCGCTGTGAACAGTTTCAGGGATGCCATGCAACAGTATATAGTCTTCAAACAAACACTGAGCCACGGAGTGAGCAGTTTGGTCCAACAGAGCATACAGGTTGACAAATTTAGAGAAATAATCCTCTATCACCAGCACGTATCTGCTCCCCTCTGATGTCACTGGGAGTTCCAGAATGTCCATAGCAACCCTCTGAAAAGGGCGATCAGACTCCAATCCCCCCATCGGGGCATGATGTTTCGGCACAGGACTCCTGCGAGTCTGACACGGAACACACTGCTCACACCACTGGCGAATGTCCTTGAGCATAGATGGCCAGTAACAGAGGCCTCTAGCCCGCTCCCACACTTTTTCAGCAGAAAAATGTGCCGCTACTGGACCGCCGTGCAACTGATATAAAATGTCAGGGACCAGGAATGCAGGTACGACCACCTGATACAGTGCTTTCCCTACCGGAGAAGAGTTCACAGTTCGGCACAACAATCCATTCACCAATGACAACCTCGGGAACTCAGTCCACAGCTTTCGGAGCCACTGGGAGCCACCCCTCACTTGTCCCCGGGCTGGACGAGAGCCTCCCTGTTCCAACCAGTTTAGCACCACCCTGATTTCGGGGTCATTCCGCTGTTGCACTGTTAAGGCCCCAGTGTCACTCAATAACCCTGTCAGTTGCGGGCCTTCATCCTTAGACTCAGTGTGTCTGGGGACCGAGCCTGGTGGACCCGAGACATGGGACTGGCAAGATGTGTCCACCACATTCACCACTGCAATAAGACTGTCCACATTCCGATTGGGGCGCCTTGAGAGCGCATCCGCATTTGTGTGTTGTTGGCCCTGTTTGTGCTGCAACACCCAGTTGTAAGGATCCAACTCCAGGATCCATCGAGCTCTCTTCCCCGATGGATCTTTATCAATGGCCAAACCTCGAAGCCCCAATAGCGGTTTGTGGTCCGTTATTATGGTGAAGGTGGCGGACCCAAGATAGTGTCTGAACTGTCGAATGGCCCATACCACCGCCCACAGCTCTTTGTCAAACGTGGACCAGCGTTTCTGGGTGCTAGTCAACGACTGGCTAGCATACACCACTACTCTTTCAAGCCCACCGTGATCCTGAGCCAACACCGCTCCTACAGCTTCCATAGAGGCGTCTGTGTACACTTTAAAAGGAACAGTAAAGTCCGGCATGGCCACCACTGGGGCCGACGAGAGCACTGTCTTTAAATACTTAAAGGCCACATCACAGTCCTCGTTCCATTCAAATGAAACACCTTTACATGTTAAATGATGCAGTGGAGCAGCACGATGAGCAAAGTCTTTGACAAATCGCCGATAGTAAGAGCATAAACCGAGAAAAGCCCTCACCTCAGTGGGCGACTGTGGCGTGGGCCAGGATTTCACCTTGTCTGTGTTTCTGGGGTCTGGCTGTAGACCGTGACAGGAGACTAAATGGCCCAAGAATACCACATGATCTCTGGCCAAGTGGCATTTACGAGGGTTAAGCCTCAGACCTGCTGCTCGGATTCGAGAGAACACCTCTCGCAACCTGGCTACATGCTCTTCGAACGTAGGGCTAAATATCAACACATCATCTAAATACACCATACACACGTGCCACGGGAGCCCCCGTAGAACCAGCTCCATCATGCGCTGGAAGGTGGCAGGTGCGTTAGTGAGACCCATAGGCATGGACTTCCACTGGTACAGGCCCCGCCCAGTAGTGAAAGCAGTTTTTGGGCGGTCCTCCTTGGCCACATCAATCTGCCAGTAACCATTGGAAAAGTCCAAAGTACTAAACCAACGGGACCCGGTCAAAGCATCTAGCGTTTCATCCACCCGAGGCAACGGATGGCAATCTTTTACAGTGACACTGTTCAACCGTCGATAGTCGATACAGAATCTCCAGTCACCATTTTTTTTTTCACCAAAACAACCGGAGAGGCCCAGGGGCTACAACTCTCCTCAATCACCCCATCCGCCAGCAGGGTCGCTACCTGTCTGTCTATTTCCTCCCTCTTGTCAGGCGAGGTCCGGTAAGCCCGCTGTTTCAGGGGGGGATGGTCACCGGTGTTAATGCTGTGTTTAATAAGGGTGCACTTCCCTGTCACTTCTCTAGATTGGCTAAAAATATCTCCATATTCAGTTAGCAGTGCTTCCAGCTGTCCCATTTGTAACGGGCTGGCAGCAGACTCCATCAGCGACACGGGGGGTGTGTCTGTCAGTACCGCGGAAGGCACCGTTTCTCTAAGGGGGGTCACTACATCCCCCTCCTCTACAGAAAATAACTCGCCAAGATGTGTTCCTTCTCGTAGCATTATGTCTTGGCTGGTAGGATTAAGCAGTCGAGCCGTAGTAACGCCTTTGTCTACGGAAGCGAGAGTATGAGCCACCACACACTCACTCTTACTCTGAGGATTGGGTTCTAGGTACCCGACAAATGTGGGGAGTTGTCCAACCGGCCCCACAGGAGAGAGGTGTACTGGGACCAGCATCTCACTAAATGGCGGTAATGTTAGGGGGGACGTAAGAGACACATTACAGCAGGTCGGAATCAAATCCTCCTGTTTCAGCAACTTCACATCCATACCCCACAACTGCAATCTACCGCGGCCAAAATCCACCAATGCGTGATGTGACGTCAGGAAATCCAGACCCAACAGAGCTGTCTGGGTGGACTTACGGAGCACATGAAAAATATGTTGCCACGACTGAGAGCCCAACCGTAAGGTAGCAGTAACCGTCCCTAATGTATCCAGTAACTCCCCATTTACAGCCTTGGCCGCGATAATATTCATTCTGAGCGGTCGTTGGCGGAGAGCTGGAATAGACTGGCGAAAATCTGCACTGATAAACGATTCCGTGGAACCTGAGTCAATCAGAATGTTCAGTTCAGTACCTGCAATGCTCCCTCGCACGTAGGAGGAACATGGTTCCCCCGCCGGGGAACAATTCACCGTGTGTTCCCGGTGTGGTAGATCAACATCTTCTTCCCAAGACCCTGTAGGTATCGTAGCTGGTGTCCGGGCCATGACAACAGCTACATCCCGTTTCCCCACTGCTGCACAGGCTCCTCTCGCCCTGGAGAGAGGAATCTCACACCTTGTCGTCTTGTTGAACCACCAAGTGGGGTGTCCTTCCGCCATCCCGGGCTCTGGCCCCTCGGTGAACTGGAACGATCAGCATAAGGAGATGGAGAGCGTCTTCTTGATCCAGCGTCCTGGTCGGTGCGGCGCTCTCGGCAATTTGGAGTATTTGGCTGATGATGTGGGTTATACTTGGGACGCAGAGATTGGCAGCCCGGACCCCCACAGTGGCACCGACATGACTCCAGCCGGGGGGAGGAATAGTCGTTGCTCCTCTCTCGACCCTTCAGTCTCTCGTTCTCATATGACAGCCTTCGAAGGTCTTTTCTCATTTCCTTCATCTCCTCGGTCAGCTCTTCCACTACTCGCTGCCAGCGAGGTTCCTCCGAAACAGAATGCACTAAGGCAGTTGCACTCTTACTGGGAGGAGCCCCTGCAACAGGATGGGGGTATTCACTCTTTAAAGTTTCACGTGCTATATCACAGCGGCCTGCAATGATTAAGGCTTCCTCCAAATCAGTCGCTCCCTGTTCCTGACACTTAGCTCGGAGGCAGGGATCTAGTCCTGCCAGGAATCGGCGAAACTTTTCTTCCCTCTGAGCAGCTTGTCCATAATTAGGGAAAGCTTCATCCACCAGCTTCCCTACATCAGCTGCATAGACATCTAGACTCTCACCAGCGGCGCGTCGACGAGCAGCCAAGTTAGCTCTGAAATTGTCCAGAAAATGTCGTTGTCTGAAGGCTTCCTGCAGCCGTTCCTTCACCGCGTTGTAGTCTGCTTGCACTGCCGCAGGTAAACTGTCCCACAGCAGGAACGCGGCTTTGGACAGTCTGGTGGGCAGTATTCGAGCCAGTTCATAGTCATATGCACTCTCGGCACCCGCTACTAGTGCTCTCACTGCCACTTCATATTGACGAGACCAGCAAGAGAAACTTTCCCCATCCTCTCCGGAGAACACCGGCGGAAGCTCAATGTTCACGCTGCTAGTGCGTGGTTTGTCTGGGCGGGAGAACCTGTACTCCAGCGGGTCTTCATCACGTCCCCACATAATTCCTGGAGATTCAACCGCTTCCAACCGGTAAACGTATTGTTGTACGTCCTATATATACTGGTACAGCTAAGCTAACCGCAAGTTAGCAGAGGCTAACTTCAACAAGCTAACGGACTCAGTTACCGTCACTGGAAAATAGCTGGACTTCGGCACTGAAACGATCCCACCGCTGCCACCAATGTAACCGAGCCTTCCAGAAAGAGACGGGAGAAGATAGAGGATTGTGGTTGCTCAAGAAAAGGTTGATAACTGTGAACTCTCAGGGTCGCTTTATTTTAACATAACACCATTAACAACTCCGCTCCAACTTCTGTTGTTTTTTTTCTCTTTTTCAAACATCACATCCTGTCAGCAGCACCTTCAAAATAAAAGTCCCATAAAAGTGGGTTACAGAATTATGAGTAGAAGCGTTCTTCATGGTCAAGTAAAATGTTTTATGTTAAATTCAGTCCAGACGTTACGTGAAGTCTGGTCCATTCTTCATCTAGTTTAACATCAAGCTAAACTCAAGTGAACATTTGTTTAGTTAGCGTGTCTAGGTACCATTTTTTTTAGGCCACGGTTGTCAAACTCAAGCCCTTGGTCTATTTTTATTTGCCCCCCGAAATCAAATATCAAATATATAATATTAAACTGGCCCGCCGGGCGATTTTGCTGATAAGACTACTAATCCCATAGTGCTGTGCGGCGTTAGCGCGCGAGACGAAGCAAGCCCTTTTTTATGTTTACGATCATTAGCATCCATGCTAGTAGAATCAGTGTGTGCAGCGTTACCCTCAGTCTTAAACAACTGAAGATACTCCTCTAAGCACCCAGTTTACTCAGCGAGTTTCCGACTTTGAACGCCTAGAAAGAAGGTATCTGGCTGGAACAGGTGACCATCAGAGTGGAGCGAACTGAGCTTGAAACATTTAATTGTCATGCACTTTTTCTGCTCCAAAGCATGAACGTTAATAACTGAGATATTTTCATAGAAGATAATTGCTATTTTTGGTTTTCACAGATCTTAACTTATTTAATTATCTAACATGTTATTGTATGGCTGTTGTACCTTTCATTTGGTAATTGATTGTTTTGGCCCCTATAAAAATGTGTCATATGAGAGTGTTTGTGCTTGAATTACATAGATCATGTACCTGAAGGTAGCTGACAACAACCGGGCAGACACCCACCTTGCCTTCTTCATTGAAGCTGTGAATGAGCATGGCTTTCCTCTGAGGTATTCATGTTATTCCCAACTTTACCCTCTGTTACCCTGTTACAAATCTGCTTTTGCCTAAAGTGTGTTATTGACCAAAGATAACATGCCATTTGAGGTCATATAGTAAAATCTATTGGGGGGGGGTGAACATTTTCCTCTTTCAAAAAAAATTTCCCCAGCAGAGGGTTAATAATGCCACATTGTTTACTCACTTAGTAGCAAGGTACATAAGGAAATTTCTGTGAGACTGAAATTGATGTAGATTGTTATAGATGTGCATTAAAAATGTTTGAAGCAAGATTCTAATGTTTTTTTTTTCATGGTGAGAGGAGATCATGGCGGAGAAAATGTAGGTGTTGCAGAATTAATGTTCTCAGTTCGTGGAACTGACACCAACAGCTTCATTGCAGGAAAAAGTGTACACAATCAACGGTGAGTTTAACCTAATTTGGAAGCTTTGTGTCTGTGCGCGCATGCCTGTGCCTGTTGACCTGCCCAGGGTGCACCCTTCGTCTCACACTGTGACTGCTGAAGATAGGCACCAGTCCCCCTGCGACCATTCAAAAGATAACTCAAGTTGAAAACGGATGTATGGACATGTAAATGTGTGTGTATGTTATAATTTTCTTTTATTTAATCCCCCTCCAAATCCAGGATCGAGTGCCTCTGGCGTGATGTCTTCATGAGTGTTACTGGTTTATATTACAACATCCTGCACTCTCTGGAAGACCAAGACTTGCTCGACATCAGTAACATCCTTCACCTGTTTTGTTGCCACTATATTGTCTCGCATCCAGGCCAGCCTGGATGTCTTTAGAGATGTGTGGGACAACCATCCAATCAGGACAGAGGAAAACATGACACCAAATCAGCTGTGGCATCTGGGCCAGGCTCTGAATCCTGTTTCTGATCCAGGGGCAAATGTATGTTCTGTTAAAACGACTGATCACATGTCAAGTTGATCCTTAACTAAAAATCAAATGTTCAACACTTTGATAATCTACCTCTGCACTATGCTTCTTGGATTCAAGACAAAATGGCTGTTGAAATTACAGTTCTGTTTGTGTGCACCTCTACTGAAGTGGACACTGTCAACTATAATGTCATGACATTACAAAGTCATGACACATCTGCAAGTTCAAAATGCAAGGCATTAGACCTTCCAGATGTGATATTCTCACTGCTATTTTAACATAAAAGTAGCCCATTAATTAAAAAAATAATAATTTATGAAATAATGGAGATGCTAGGTTCTGCCTGACATCATTGATGTTAAGTAATTGTTAAAAGGTCATGATAGGGCTTTATTAAATGTGTTTTCTTGAGATTTATTATGCACAGTGCTCATACACACTTTCTTTTTCCAGGGTATACCGGTACCAGAGATTGAATGGGAGGAGAACGGATACATGACTGAACCTCATCCTGGGATCAGTGTCCCTGTACTGGACAGTCCTCTTTCAGATCATGAAATGTTGGAACTGCAGGACAACATAATCCGTTGCAACATTCAGACTCTTGGGAGTGGACATATATCTTCACACTGTCCAGTATGTTGAGAACTTACTTGAGGCTAGATGATTACATGTGTGAAGAAGGAAGAAGAGAGAAGGTAGGGAGTTAGGAAGAAAGAAAACAAAGAGACAGGAAGGAAGAAAGTTAAAAAGTGAAGGAGTGGTCCATTTTAAGGTTAATGTACTGTATATTGTTATTCAAGGGATTAACCTTTGTAAATATGAAATGCTAAAGAATAGACCCCAAAATAGATTTCTAAATTCATTTATAGTTGTGTATTCCCTTAAAGGCTTTATCAGCCTGATTTATTTTAGACCAGGAATGTATTTGAAAAGGCTGCTGTCCACTTCATCTATGCTACAATTCTTCAAAATGTAGATGTTCTATCATTGCTAGTGTTGGTTTAGTAACATGCATCTTCCTGTGTATCCAGCTCTAATAAAAACATTTAAAGGCGAAGCACCTACTTATCAGGAGATCCATTTATTTTTACATGTTATTGTTTGAATTTTGTCTCGTTTCATAACTTTTGCTCAACATTTAAGGGGAACTGTGTTACCCTGCGATCATCTTCATTACACTTGAAAACTTGTACTATACCTCCGTCTGTCTACTTATTAAATGGAATAACATGACAAGATTCTATCTACTGGTTTTTTGATCAAGGGATGATTAGGTGTGAGAAGATTCTCTATGCTTCTGAGTCTGTGTTAAGTTGCAACTGGACACACATACCCACACACAGTTTGTTCATTTGTTCTCAGAATGAGAATAATGTCTTTTACAATTAAAAAGTTTTTTTTTCTTGATGTCACTGAAGGCTGTGTTAGAAATATATGCAGCTCATTAAAAGGAAAAGTAACTAATGTAACCAAAAGCCTGAACTCAGGAGAATAGAGACACCTGCCAAGATAAAGAGCTGGAGCTTTTGCTCCTTTTCAGAGTCACTCCCATGGAATAGGCCGGATGATTTACTAGCTTCTCTTACCTTCTCTGCAGACAATGTTTAATATGAGCTTCAAGAGGTCTCTGCCCCTAACAGGGTTTGCTTTCACTTAGTAAAAATGCATAATTTTTCCGAATAAGATTATTAAGAGGCCACCCATAGGGTGGAGCGTTGGTAATGTAATGTAACCGGTTAGATTTGTGTCCGACTTGACGCCGACTTGCTCTGACATCATGCATACGTAGGCAACGATAACCACTTGAGATCAAGGCGGCCGCAGATTTTGGAGCAAGGCTCTGCAGTTGTTCTCCCTTGGCTGCAAAACCTAGGGGATGACGGGAAACGCCTGGCTCTCACCTGATCTAAGATCTGATCGGTTCATATTTTGATCCAAACATCCGGTGGTAGAACATGAAATGTTAGTTGGTCACGTGTATTCTGTAAATCATGTAACGTTAATGATGACAACTATATAGGCCATAAAGAGAAATGTGTTTTGTGTTCTTTTGTCACGTTTCCTATAAGCACACTGAAGCTACAGCTGATAAACTTTACTTATTATTACAGTCATGTTTTCATATTCGATATTTGATATCCACAAGCACGTGAGGGTGTGTTTCAGCCGCTAACAGGCACCAGAATTAAAATTGAAAATTAAACAAGTGTGAACGCTAACGCGATATCTTCATCCATCGTCAGCCCCGAGCGACACATGCAGGAAATTGTGTCCGACTTATGCGCACAGCAGATCTGTTCTGTAACATAAGGAGCCATATGATTGGCTGAAAGCGAACAGCCCTGGCAGAATCATATTTGATTGACAGGTTCATTAGCCAATGGGGACGTTTGTTGACCTGCGACGCTAGGAGAGTCTCAAAATTCAGCACACCGATTTCTCTCACGAATGCAGGAAGGTTCACAAATGAGAAGCTGTCCGTGAATGCACATTCAGCAATTCGTATGATCTGAGTTTATATTACAAGTGTTCTTACAAATTATATTTGTGAACCACAGAGTGTGAACTTCAGAATTAGCGTGTGCATTTGTGTAAAATGTTGCGTGACTTATTTTTTCACATTATATTTATGAGTCAAAGAGTGTGAATTTCCGAATGTGCGTGTGCATTTGTGTTCCTCCGAATTATATTTGTGAAACACAGAATGTGGATTTCCGAATGAACGTGTGCATTTGTGGAAAACGTTGTGTGACTTAATTCTTATTGAGACTGTTCTGGCCTCATATTTCTGTCATCAGACAAGCAAGTTCACCATCTTCACGGACCGAGAGGGTTACGATCCAGAAAGATCTTCTTGCAGACACCTTCACGCTCACCTGAATCCTTCAGCTGTAGGTCTACAACACAGAAGAAAGTCTTATGGTTGTCTGAGACAAAAAAATGACTTTTTGGTCACAACAGCATAAAGTATGTTTGGAAGAAACAAGGTTCCTCTTCAAACCTATACTGTATCAGCTGTCAAGCATGGCAGTGGTAGAATAATACTGTGGGTCTAGTGTACTGCACAAAGTGAATGAGATAAAGATGAACGAATTAGTTAATTTTAAAATGGACTGAACTTTGAACTAGTTAGTTTTTAAAATGAACTTTCCCAACACTGGTCTTAGAGTAGCAGAAGGTTCTCCTAGCGAAGCGTCCGCGCAGGGGCATGTGGCCATAATAAGGCCGCCAAGTAAGGCGTCGCCAGCCCATTCAAAGTTTTGAAGACCAATATAATAATTTTAAAACAATTTCTAAAAGCAACAGGCAGCCAATGTAATGCTGTTAAAATTGGAGTGACATGGTCAAACTTCCGCTTAAAACAATGGCTGCTGCGTTTTGCACGAGTTGTATCTTAGCCAGAGTACCCTGCTGGCTCACAATGAACAGAAATGAATTACAGAAGGCAAGGAGTGCAGTCATAAAGACATGAACTACAGCCTTGAGATTACGTCTTGACAGGAATGGTTTCACCTTGGACAAACGATGAAAGGAGGAATAAACCACCTCATTTACATGGTCATCAAAGCAGAGGGCTTTGTGGATGTGTCTTAATCCTTTCTGGAACAAATCCTGCATTTATTTCCTTTTGTGCATTTAAAACTTTTGTGTTTGCTGAGTAGGTAGGCTAAGAATTTGGCAAAGTTAGTGACTATTCTAACTTAGCTTAGCTGCAAGTTCAGGGCTGTAAAGGCCTAAAGAAGTCCTGTAGTAACTTCTGTTATCCACTAAGGGGCGATAAACATCTTCTCTTGTCCTGTTGATCTTCTGATGTTTCTCCTATTTATTGTTCAGTATGAGAAACATGTTCATGCTATGCTGTAAACTGTTGTTTTCCTGTTTATCTTTATTTCCTGCTCCCCCTTCTCCTATTCGTCTCACTGATGGTGGACTTGGCTTTCGTGTTCGGCGTCTGCTGGATGTCAGGCCCAGGGGCCGGGGGCGTCAGTTCTTGGTGGACTGGGAGGGTTACGGTCCAGAACATCGCCAGTGGGTCCCCAGTTCCTGGATTGAGGACCCTTCTCTCATCAGAGACTTTGACGCCGCTCGGTCTTCTGCTGCTGCCTCCTCCTCCGCCTCCTCCTCCTCTGCGCGGCCGCCGGGTGTCGGCCTTTGAGGGGGGGGGGGGGGGGGGGTGGTACTGTCATGATCTGTGCTGCATAACCATCTCTGCTGAGTGTTGTTTACAGGTGGGTGTGTCTGGAGAGCCCAGCTGTGCCAAATCAGCTCATCAGCGATCAGGGGATTTAAGGAGCAGCTGGACATCTCACCATTAGATGATACTCAGTCTTGGGTAGTTTCTAGCCCTCCTTTTGACCTTCCTAAAAACTATTTTAGAATTTGTTTGTCCACCTGTTCCTGCCCTTCTGGCAGTTAACCTGCTCTGCCCTCCTGATTCCTCCAGGTTCCAGTCATCTGTTCATCTCCACTCTCTGCTATATCTCCGGAACCATCTACCACATTCCAGTCCTGCTGTTTACCCCTGATCACCAGCTCTCCGTCACCCACCTATCCACCTGCAGCTCCTCGTCTCCCCATCCAGCCAGGTCTGACTAACCCCCCCACAAAATACCGGATCATCCAGGAAACAGTAAGCCTTATTTTTTCATCATCGTCTCACGTTGCTCCAGACTCTGACCTCTCTTCCTCTCTCAGACCCCACGGATTCCTCCAGTCCTGCAGAAGCTTCAGCTACCTCTCCCATTCAAAATAAATCATTTAAACTTACCTTCTGTCTCTCGGTGGTGATTCTTCATGTCGTGGGTCAAGAAATTACCCTCAAACATGACAGTAAGACCATCATTTTAATTGTAGCAACTCTCCCCATGAGTGATATTGGAAAGGATTTCCATCTTGCAAGATCATCTTCCACTTTCTTTAAAAGTGGGATGTAGTTTAGTTTGGTAGAGACATTAATTCCCAGGTATGTGATATTCTCTGACTCCAATTGTGTATTAAGTAAATTGACAAAAGAGAAATTAATTGGTAGAACTGTGGATTTTAACCAGTTTATAGAGTAATCTGAAACTTTTGAAAAAGAGTTTATCAGTTCTACTGAATGAGAGAGAGAGAGACGATTGAGAATTCCGGAGAAAGAGTAAAACATCATCTGCAGAAAGACATCTTATGTTCTATTTTCTAACACTTTATCCCTTTAATACCTGTTGTTTGCCTAATTGCTGCCGCTAGTGGTTCGATAAAGATAGCAAACAGTGAGGGGGAGAGTGGGCATCCCTGCCTGGTCCCGCTCTGAATACAGAAGCTAGCTGATATTTGGTCGTTCGTCCTTACACGTGCAGTTGGCGAACTGTATAATGTTTGTAGCCAGTTTATGAAGAAGTTCCTAAAGCCAAATTTATGTAAAGTTGCAAATAAGAACTTCCAGTTAACTCTATCAAAAGCCTTTTCTGCATCTAGAGATAATATACTAGTTTCTATGTTTCTACTGTAAGAGAAATCTATCAAATTAAGTAATCTACGTGAGTTTGTGGATGACTGTCTACCCTTGATGAAACCAGTTTGGTCAGGGTGTATTATGAAGGGGGTTACCTTCTCTAATCTTTTTGCCAGGGCTTTACAAATTATTTTGAGATCATCATTAATAAGGGAAATTGGGCGATAGCTGGTAGGAAATGCAGGGTCTTTGCCTGGTTTTAACAAGAGACTAATATTGGCTGAGTTCATGTTTGGCTGTAATCTGCCGCTCTCTTCGATTTCCCTCACCATTCTGAAAAATATTGGAGCCAGAATGATCCAGAATTCTTTGTAGAACTCTACTGGGAACCCATCTGGACCTGGAGCTTTCCTATTCGTCATGGATTTAAGGGCTTCCTGAAGCTCCGCTGATGTTAGTGGCGAGTCCAGGACTGTAACTTGGCTGTCTGATAATTTAGGAAGTGTTATCCTGTCAAGGAACTCATCGATCTCGTTATCTGATGGGTTTATCTGTGATGACTACAAAGTTTGGTAAAAGTCTCTGAAAGTGTTGTTTATTCTTTCAGGGTCATAAACTATATTCCCGGTTGAGTCTTTAACAGCAGATATGGTAGTTTTCTCTTTATTTATTTTTAACTGGCTAGCCAAAAATTTACCTGATTTATTACTATGTTCAAAGTTTTCTATTCGTAGTCTTTGTGCTAAAAATTGTGTCTCTTTTTTCAATAATTCCATGAAGTTCTAATTTAGCTTTACGTAATTTGCTCATTAACTCTTCTTCTGTGGATGCCTCTAAAGACAACAACATTTCATACATTTTTGACACTACTGTATCAAAGTAATTTAACATACAAACATTATTTAAATTTTAAAAAGATCATGGCACATTGAACATGAGTATACTGAAGTAGATTTCTGTCATCTGTTACCATGGTAACACAAGTGCATAAGGATATCCCCAAACAAGTTGCAGTGAAATGAATGTGAAAATCCTAATATTGAGCCTATAACATACTGCTGTTTCTTATCTTTCTGAGCTCTATACAGTTAAAACTAGCAGCATAGCTGACATTTTAACACTAGTCAGAAGGCAGGAACCGCCCCTTCCTCCTTAGCTGCTCTCTGATTGGCTGAGAGTTTTCAATCGTCTTCTGCCTAAAAGGAAATATGCACCCACACATTTGATACATCAATTCAACCTGCGTTGTCCCATGAGTCTTGTATTAACTTGATTTTGTGTTCTGCGTTGCCATGGCAACATGCTTGGCAACAACATTTAATAACATTTTAGACACAACTGTATCAACATACTTAATTATAGAAATGTTATTCAAAGTTTGATAGAGTCATGTGACATTGTACATTGCTTGTACATTGCTTGTACAATTGTTTAGAAATTTTAGCTGTTCGAATTTTTATACAAAATTCACAGATTTCAGTTTTTTGCTATTTAGAATTAGTTCTTGATTCTTCACTTACTTTTTGTGCTTTATTTGCTTGTTGGTGCTTTTTGCTTTCACATCTTTTTCTACATTCAGCTCATTTGCCAGTTTAGCTTAGTTTCAGCTTCACTTCAGCTATTCAACAACTTGAACAATCGGTTACAAAATGTAGCATAAGCTGCTAATTTCACAGTTCAGCTAAATGTAAAGATTAAACTGTTAAACTTGTCCAACTGAAATAACAGGTGTTTAGACATTTTAGCTGTCCAAATCTTTATACAATGTACAATCTAGTTAATGATATCTTACATGTTCCATCTGGTTTTTCTTGTAGTATAACAAATATGTTTCTTTACATTATTACAAGTTTTGCATTCAGCCGACAAACCAGCATTTGAACATCTGGATGCACGTTTCTGCAGCCTCTTTCCTTCGGAGATAATGAAACATGCTACTCCTCTTTAAGAACTTATGCCAGTGTCATAAAGCCCTTCATCATATTCACATTGCCTCCGCTCACATTTTCTTTTAGTGGAACAATCTTACTCTCAGCCTTACCCTTACCCTAACCCTAACCCTCCCACATCGTCACCATGACCATCATCAGTGTACCTCCTCCTCCTCTCCAATGCTTTTCAACCCCTGCTGATCACTGCTCACTGGTAGAAACACACTCACACTCCTTTAAACCATTTTACTGCTCATAAATTTTATATTTTATTTTCAGTAAATATGTTACGGTGAAAAGCAGTACTTTGTCATAATGGCGCCAAAGCTGGCAGTTTTGTTCCAACTCATTAATGTGAGCCATAAAACCAAACGGGCAGATCAAAAGGACACTCAGCACTTTAGTTTTAGGACACACACAGAAAAGTCAAAGTGAAGACCCACATAAAGTGGAAAAAACAGTTTTTTTTACTAAAAAGGAAACTCGAGACAGATTACAGGAAGCAGGCCAGTTTGTGTACAAATCAGATGATTTATGCTTTAATTCAAAGGGACCACAATTCTGTGCAAATTTGATTTACTGCTGTGAGTTGGTGTTTATCGTGAGGGGTTTGTTTTCAATTAGTGTTTATGGCAACGGATAAAAGTTAAGTGGTACATGAATTACAGAAGTTGAATTATGGAGCTGCATTGTGTTTATCTGTTGGAAAAGGACTAAATCAGAGCGTTGAAAGTGCTTTTGGCCGCTGATGCCAATCAATAAAACGTTTCAACAAACTCAACGGTTCGGTGAAAGTCGCAGACAGCAGCAATAAAAACGGTGGGATTGCAAAGAGTTTGCATATGCCTGCGTATAATCTCTTTAGTGTTAAGATGTATTAAGAACATACATGAGTCACTAAACAGGCAAAAGAAGAAAAAGTATCAAAATAATTATTTTTTTTATGCTTAAAAGCTTCAAAAAAGGGCAGCAAAACAAAAAAAGTTTATTTGCACATTCACAATAAAAATTCATTAATGGACATTCCCACCAAACTATGACCATAGATCCTGCTCTAGGATTAAATCTAACTGTGCTGTCCAAGGGAAGTCACTAAGGTTCAGGTCAATTCTGCAGATTCACTGTATAGCTACACCCATAGCCACACAGTTTTACCTACACATCCCGATAAACCAGAAAATAGGCTCTTTACACAAAAGAACAGCAAAAGAAAAACTGGACACGCACGCACGCACGCACACACACACACACACACACACACACACACACACACACACACACACACACACACACACACACTACAATTACAAAAAGGGTGCATTAACATAATTATAGCCATTAGGTGAACACAAACTGCAGCATTAACATTCAAATAAACAAGCCGATGGCTGTAGAAGTTTATTGCATGAAACATGCTTTAAGGACGGGCTAAGTTTAATTCAGACACCACTGCCTCAGATGAATAACTTCATCTCATCCTTCTTCTTTGTTTTGGTTTATTTATTTTTTGTCTCTTTTCAATGACTGCAAACCAAGAATTTCATTTAAAAAGGTATCTATTAGAATGTGTTTTTTTATTGCAATCAAAATGTAAGCCCACACACACGACATCAGTATTTTTCCTGAGGCCATTTCGACCAGTAGACTGACACTGTTGTCTTTTTGAAGCAACAAATACATCAGAACAAAAAAGTAAAAATACTCATTTCTGAATGTTTGATGCTTCAGTGTAAAAATGGCATTCACTCCTATCAAATTATCTAAATATTAAAAATACAACTTTTTTCTAGATCTGTTGCATAAGTAAATAACTACCACAAAATCTAATTCCTTACCTGAATTTTGCAGCAAAAACTTGCCCTGCTTAACATTTCATCAGTCTGAAAACAGATGGTTTCATGGTGCCCGCTAGTGCTGACAAGGTCACGAACCCCCCTGCAGAGGAAGACTCTGAAGGAAGAACAATCGATAGACAACACGACAAATAGGCTACAGCTTCTTTGGTCGAATTCGCATTAACAAGACAGAAGATCAGGTTTGAGTAGCAACAACCACGGTTTGAAAACATCAGTCACCATTAAAACGTTTTTTATAGTCTTCCACCAGCTTGAGGGTTGAGCATTGTTCTCTTCATGAATAAACTTTGTTTCTGCTTTTATAAAAACCCGTTTGAACATTCCCGTTCTAAAAGCACATCTTTCTGTTCTAAAGCATGGAGCATAAAAGAGACATTTCCTTTCACTGGTGGAGATGAAACCACCATCAGGTAGATATAAAAACAGTAATGTAGAAAATATGTTGAGGGAGCATTGCTGTATTTAAGATGAGGATATCTCAATACCAACTTTACCTTGGTCACAGAAAACTTCCCGGGTTTAAAGTCTGTGTTTAAGGGACTTTTTGGACTTTTGAATTTTTATGCTCGCGATTGCCCCCTCAGGCCAAAAGCGTAGCGGCAGCTTCAA